AGCGGGGCTGCGTGCGGGTGGCCTACCCGCCGCCCATCGGGCGCTGAGCGCCAACGCGGTAGGCAGGCCTGCTGAGCGGGGCTGCGTACGGGTTGCCTACCCGCCGCCCATCGGGCGCTGGGCGCCAACGAGGCGGAGCGCTGCTGCGTGCGGGAGGCTTTGTTCTTGTACTCAAAACTCGTTTCTTTGAACATTCGGCTTATACATTGAAACCTTGTTTTTACCGCGTTTTTCCTGTATACGCCCGGATGGACCGACGAAAACATTACAACGGCCATTTCCTCTACCCCCCTGCTTTCGTGTTCTGCGAGACTGCCCCAATTAAGGGGAGAGGATGGGCTGGGCTGCTCTGGGCGAAGGTGGAGTGGAGTTGGAGATCCGACCCCCCAATCTTGCAGAGAGGCCCTCTCTGCGACATGGCGCACTGGGACAAGGTGGTGGGAGGCCCTGCTGCCGGAGCAAGGTCACGACTAGGTCTGGCGTCCCGTACCCCCGTGTGTCTGAGACTTGACGATTGGCTCCCCTTTGATTTTCCAGCCTCGTTTCCTATCTGTCATTTAAACGCCATTTGATGGCGCTCCGCCACCCCTAGCCCATATGTCCGTCCCGCGGGATGCCGCCCAGGCAAGTGTGGGTCGGTTTGTGAGGGGATCAGACTGGCGTGCGGCTGCGGGCGTTCCGCGGGGGCACCCGCTCAAGCCCCCTGTCGCCGTGGCCGTCATGGGCCCGGCCCCTGGCTGACGGGCGGGGGAGGGGCGCTTCTGTCTAGTGCGGGCGGCCGTCCGCGGGAGGGCGCCAGGCGCGCCGGGGCCGGCCGCTCTGCGCCGCTTGGCGGGGCCCCCTCCGGAACAGCCGGCCCCCTGCCCGCTGGAACTGGGACTCCGGCTAAAGCAAAGCAGTTCTAGTCGCGCCGCGCCGGCAAGCGGGCAACAGGCAGGCAACCTAGCCGAGCACGGCGGGGACGGCGGGCGCCACCTGGCCACTCACTCACGCGCGCACGCACGCAGACGCGCACGTCTCGGCACCGCCGCGCGCCGCACCGGGCCCGCGCGACGCACAGTGTGCACACGGCCGCATTCAGGATTACGCCCCCCCACGGTTGGTGATATGCTAGCCGACATCGACACCGACCTGGACGCCGCCGTCGTCGGAGGTCGCCGGAGGCACAGCTGCCCGTCGTCAGTCGGCCCCCGGGGGCCATGAGCCTCGACCAGACCCGTCGCCTGATCTCCAGGTACACCCCCGAGGACGGCGCGTATCCTTTGCCCCTGACGCGTGGCCCGGCGGTGGAACTCGCGCCCCGACCGAAACGGTGCACGCGCTCCTAGGTCGTCGTCGTGAGGGTGACGGCTCTGGCTGTGAGGTGCCCCCATCCTCTCCCCCGCCTAGCGCGGTGTATGGGGTGTGTAGGTCGTGGTCCTGCCGGCCCACGCGGGTCGCTCGCGCGGGGGGACCAAGTTTTTGGCGTCTCGCTCGCCTCCATCTCGCCTCGCAACGCCCAACTACTTTAACGACGTCGCGGTGGGAGCGCGGGGCGGCGCTGTTGCCCGGGAGGCCTCCGCCGCCCGCTGCGCCCCTCGTCATCGTCTATCCCGCTGGCAGCGGGCTTTCTCTGCCCCCCCCCCCTACCCACTCCACCAACCCCTGACCGAACCGCCACCGCGAAAGGGCGAGCAGCGGGCGAGGCGCCAAAACTTCCCCGTTGAAAAGCCAGCCGCGCGCGTCCTCGCTTCCTCAACGACCAGCTCCCCAACAACAACCCCCACGACCCCGCCTTCGACGCCTCCTCAATACCAACCACAAGGCGGTGCCATGTCGCCCGCTGCACGTTGCGCCTTCGCAGGGAATATGACGCCAGCGAGACGCATTTCCACTTTATAAAACACGAGTTTTAGAATGAGGTAAAAATACCGGTGGCTGTTCTGAAAGAGCCGAGGGGGCGATAACTCCGGGAATCATGCGTACAGCGTACACCTGCCTGGGAATCACCAAGATAAAAATTAATCGAAATCAACAGAAATCGCTTAAAGGAAGTGGGAAACTAGAGAAACCGGTACAAATTACTCGAAATAACCGTTTTATACCACAAAAAAAAAACTCGAAAAAAAGTTGGTATGGAATGTAAGCGGACGGGAATCACTGGGAACCAAGAGTTTCGGGAATCATGTGTACACTTCATAAGGGAGTTATTGCTCCCTCGGAAAGAACAATCATCAAAATAAAATGATAACAAAACAAAAAACAAACAACTCGTGAGCTATAATATATGTTAATACTCTCCAAAAAGTATCGTCAAAGAAATGCGCGGAAGAATGTACACAGATCGACACAGAATCCATAGTTAGTGTCATATAATCGAATTCAAAGTCGTTTCTTCCCTCAATTCTTCCCCGTGCCGTGCTCGAGTGTTTACAAAGGGACTTTAGTACGTGCCTTTCGTTGGGTTGTTGTCTTTATCGGATTGCAGGGGGCTTCTGTGGAGTGGTACTTTCGCGCCCCCCCCCCCCCCGTCCAGTGCCCCCCCCCCTCCCCTCTCTCCCGACCCGCCTCGCCCACCTGCATTGCGCCCGCCACAGCCACCAGGTCGGCCGGGCGGGAGCTGCGCCCTCCCGCTGTCTGCCGCTTTATCGGCGGCGATAAAGGAGATGAGCCGCGCGTCCCTGCTGCAGTCCCTCATTCGCCCGACGTGCGCCGCGCGCACGCTCCTCTAGCAGGTGGTGCGCGTTGCGTTACTTCCGGTTACCGTTACCTCCTGTTACTTCCGGTTACTTCTTCCGTCTGTCGGGGGCCTCGGGTGGGTATGGGCCTCCTTCATCCCAGCGCGAATGCACGACGTGCAACTTTGTGTGTGCGCGGGGGTGGGAGAGACAGAGAGACAGACAGAGACAGAGAGAGGGGGGGGGGGACCTGGAGAGGGAGAGAGACTCTCTTTCATTGCGATGGCATGGCAGCGCCTAACCCTTTGGACCCCGGGCCCGGGTCGGGGCCGAGCCGCGCGCGACAGAGCTGTATCCCCGTGACGAGAGCAGGAGCAGGGGGAAGAGAAGAGCGGGGGGAATGAAATAAAAGGGGGAGCGCGCAGGAGTGGCTGCCGGGGCCGGGGCCCCGGGCCGGGCCGAGGACAGACGGGCGGAGCCAAGCTCTCATCTCTCGCACCAGCCCCTCATCCCTGTCTGCTGGCGCTCCTGGCGCTGCTGGCGCCCCCCGGGCCCCACACACGCCTGCCTGCTCTCGCACCCTCATCACCCTATCCCTAACGTTGGCGCGATGGCCTGGATGGCGGCGGTCGGTTCGTCCCGTCCTGGCCATTAGTCAGAAGCCGTCCACAAGTAGTTATATGCACTATGTACCCGAACAGGTCGGGCTCGTTGTTCTAGGTGATGAATTGCGTACGTACGTCCTGAAAAAATACATTAAAAAACAAGACAAACGCCACAAGAAACCTACATACGGACCATGTATCAGTACTCGTTGACTAGACTTAATATCAACATTTTTGTACGTGTAGATGAAGAGCCTAAGCACTAAGATGGACACCAAAAATATTCAATAGGTTGTTAAATTGATGCTGCTTTTTTGCCTTTTTGGGGGGCGAGGGGGGGGGAGGAGTTTTAGGTGTAGGCTATGTTTGCGTGTTCGGTAAAAAATAATGTTCAGTACGGCATTTGAAATGTTGCCGCTTTCTTTCAAATTCCACGCGAAGTAAGCGCATGCGACTTGTAAAGTTTTCCATGTTAGATTGATAACGACATCGGCTTAACGAACAACGTTCCGACCTCGGGTCGGACTCTGCTGGTCGGTTCACGTGAGCGAGCGCCGCCTGTGTGGCCTCGCGGCCACGTCCTGCCCGTTGCCGAAGCTGCCGGTGTAGTCCTATGGCTCCGCGGCACCAAACGCGAAACGAGTCGGCCATAAACACATCGTTACGATGTTGTTAAGTTCCGGGGCCATCTCGTGAGCGTGATCGATGACTCGAAGGGGGTAGGCAGGCGGGGGCGG